CCCATCATATGTGCATTGTCCTCATACAAGATATTGGGGGTATCGTCTCCGCTCATTATACCATATGAGCTATGGATATGACGTATCAATGACTCCAGCCATACACATTCTCATGAGGTCTCATATAAAATAATCATCTCTGAGTGATTAGATGAGGTATCAACTAGGGTCTATTTAACAGACATCCACGATAAAGTTGTACCTCCACAAATAAAAATATAACCAGTTTGAGATTTGGCATTATAAATTTATGGGATCAAATATATAACCAACATATAAGTAACCCACCAATGTAATATCCCAGTTATTCTCAAAATAGAGATCTAGGTCTTTTGTACCTTGGTCCTTGGTGATATCTAAGGATATTTTTCATTCCATTCCAATGTCTTCTAATTGGAGAAACACTAAACCTAACTAGTAAATTCACTAAGAAAGCAATATCAAGTAGCACTTAAATAAGGAACATCAAGTCCTAGCACATCCGGATAGTTATGTTGTGCATCCGTATGCACCATGCATGGTGCATACGGATGCAAAAACGACGTCGTTTTATTAAAAATGCGCGTCTCCCCTTAAAAAAAAATCAGGTTCGATTCCCAGCAACAACATTATGTTGTTCATTCATTCTGGAATTTTAGTTCATAGATTATGGAATTTTAGTTCATTCATTCTGGAATTTTTAGTTCATAGATTAGATTCTGGAATTTTAGTTCATAGATTCTGGAATTATAATTCAACGATTCTGGAATTATAGTTCATCGATTCTGAAATTTTAATTCATATATTGTTGATGAGAATCGAACCTGAAAGGGGATACGCACGTTTTTAATAAAACGACGTCGTTTTTGCATCCGTATGCACCATGCATGGTGTATACGGATGCACAGCATAATTTGCCAGCACATCCTCATCATCTCCTTACGAATCTTTGTCCACTCCAAGTGACCAGATCACCATCATACTATTAAGAGGATGGATTTATTCATATAAATTCTCTCTAATAATTTATTTGTATAATTTGACTGGTGTAGAAAAATTTAATTAGGAAGATATCTGCGAGTCAATAATTAGTTTTTTTTTTTTTTTTTTTTTTTTTTTTTTTTTTAAATAAAAGACTAAAAGTGGACTTCTGCAATAACAATGGAATTAACACCCTTTTATGAATAATCAAATATGCAAAACTGTAACATTGGCGCGGATCTGAGTTTATGTACTCTGCGTATCACAAGAGCCGTTAAAACAACGCGCGAATTTCTCAATCAACCTTCTCACGCAACCGCCAAACTAAGAACTTTGCTAAGACACCTCCGCCTCTCAGAACGATCCTCCTCCATCTCTATCCGCCACCGTCTCCGCCGTCGCAGACGCAGCTCCATTTTCCACAACAAAAAGAAAAACATTCATGACAATCTATCGTCGGATTCCAATCGTATCCCTTTTTCTTCTCCGCTGGCTTCCTGGTAATTTTGCTTAAACTGGACCTTTCTTTTTAATTAATAATAGACTTCTAGTTGTTAATCCCGTTGATTGGCTGATATTTATTTTCAATTTATTGATTAATTACTTACAGTTTGAAGATTTGGTTTATTTTTATTTTTATTATGATTTGG